ACATAATCTTTTCATACTTTTTTTTCTGTAAAGACATTTTTCTTAAACTTTTGAAAGAAAAATATTTTCATGGACCTTCTTCATGCCGAGTGCTGGCTTAAGTCATTTTTAACATAATGTTATTTAAATATGTGTTAACAGAATTTATGCTTATAGTTCCGATGAAGCTGTAAAACAAAACAGACATACAAACGCAATTTAAGTAAGAATAGAAAATCAACATAATTCAAATTAATAATGTTAATGTGACAGGGAACCAGACTTGAGACAATACCTTTTTACTATTATAATGTAGAAGGCAGTGTGTTTGGTAATTAGGAGAGAGCATGGCGTCTGGAGTAAGATCGAAGTTCAGGTTTTTGCTCCACCATTTACCCTGTTCATGTGACTTAGTTTACTTATTTATAGAATGAGGATAATTCACCTAACTTAACTAGAATTATGATATAATTAGGATTATTGATTTGTCACGTCCTAGAACAGTGCTTGGCAAACAGTAATTGTTTAATAAATGTTAGCTGTAATAATAATTAGTTTTATATTATTGTTTTAGTGAAATCTAATGATCAGTGTTGGGCTTAATGGTAGAAAGTCTGATTCTATATTTAACATTTCCGATTTGATTTTAATAATGTAAATACTGATGCATAGAATGTTTGCTTGCCCAATTTCATGTACAGTGTAGTGATACTTTTATAGCTTTGTTTGCTAATTTAGCACAGTCAGATCTCATACTTAACCTAAATTGTTCTAGGCAGGAGTCCTTGAGTTTCCATTTTTAATGGAGTGTCAGTTGATAACTCCGTAAAACTAAATGTATAAATCCAATCATTGTCCATATCAGATATGTGAAAATACTATCTGAAGCTATTTTTAGTTCTTGAAAAGGTATAGAAAACATTATTTTTCGGCGTGGAGCTTATCAGACTGCTGAAGGGAATGAACAGATTCTGGAGACTACTTATTTTCAGCATTTTGAAAATACCTTCATTGTCTTATTGATTCTATTATGTATTAAACTTATACTGTAGTGCATTGATAGCTATTTCTTGTCATCTGGGACTCAATCCATTTAATTACCCTAACTATCAGCTAATTATGCTCTCATAACTACCAGTTAACATCAGTTATCTGGTTGAAATATATTAATAGTAATACTGGAAAAATATTTTCATTTTATGGTACTCAAGAAAAGTTTATGAGCCTCTTCATGAGATTGGTAGGGAATTTCAGAATGTAGTAAAAGCGACTTATGATTACCACCTGTTGATCTTAAAGGTTGATAGTTATTATAGAATTAAGTGGATAAGCCTGTAACAGAATTTTAAATTTTACCTATTTTGTCTCATTTATTTTAATTATAATGTTTTTTTGTTTTTTGTTTTTTTTTCCTAGCTGTGGGGCCTTCAGCAATAGTACTGTTTTACTAACTGTATAGTAGCTTTTATCTGGACAATACTTTTGAGTTCCACATGCTTATACAATTTTATTTTTTGATTCTGCCACATTTTTACATATTTGAACTGTTAACATCTTCATGTGAATATTGTGCCTTAATGTACGTGTTTTTTCCTAGAAATATATCATTTTTTCAACTTTTTTATTTTTTCATTAGCCTGTGACACTTAAAGAGGTATACTGCCCCACCATCACTTATGCTGTTTTCATGATGTCAAATCACGATGCCTTTCATTTGAAAATTATTAATGCAAAAGAGAAGTTTTATATTGATATCTGCTAAAAAAGAATACAGTACGAACAGATTTCCCAATAAATTAGAAGTTGAGTAATGTTACTTTAGGTTACTATGGACACTAATGTGAGTATAGGTACAAAGGCAGAGGGGTGCTGAAGTTACACAGCAATGCTTGGATATAAGGTGATTATTTAGATGATTTATGATATGCTTATATTAGCCTATTTTTTCTTACGCTCAAAATAAAGGTAGTTAAAACATTTGACACAGAATTACAGACCTCCCAAGAATTTATTTGTGGAGTCTACTCTGAGAAATATTGGACTGGGATACATTACAGAGAAAATGAAGGATTCTGTTCTAAGAGTTCAAAAACTGGAGATGTCTATATTATATTTTGTGTAGCAATTAGTAATTGAATTCAGCTGTATGCAATAAAATACTCAACAGCAGTGGCTTAAGCAAGGTCGGGGGTCATCCTTCCCTATGTCACAAGGGATCCTAGGCAGTTCAGAGCTGATGCAGTGGCTCCAGGATGTTACCAGGGACCCAAGCTCCATCTGGTCTCTCCCATCTTTAAGTTCCTAGTTCATGCTCCCAAGTGGGTCTCTACTCTAGCTGTCATGTTCTGGTTCCAGGCAGGAAGAAAGAGAACAGAAGGCAAAAAGGCAAAAAACCAGACAAGTCTGTGTGTCACAGGGCTTTCCCAGTGACTTCCATTTATACATCACTGGTCAGAACTGTGTCATATGGCCACCTCTATTTCAAGGGAAGCTGGGAAGTATGTTTTCTGTGAGAATATTGCTGCCTCCCAAAGTTGGACTCTTTGTAAGGAATAAGAGAGAATAGACATTGGGTAGGCAAATAAGCAGTCTTTGCCATACCAATTAAATAAATATGTTAAGAAAGCTCAGAAAACAAACAAAATCAGTCTTTCTCTTTTATCTGTATTTCTACTTTAACCAAAGTTATATGAAAGGAATTTAAATGAAATAAGTCCAGAAATTGCTGGAGTCTGAAGGAAACATAAAGATCATATAGTCCTGTCATTTTTAGACTTAGAGATAATTACTGACTTGTCTGAGACCACAGATGTAAGTTCCAGGACCGGAATTTGAAGTTCCCAAATTCCAAAACATCACTGTTCTTTCCATTTACTGTGATGCTTCATAAAATCTGGTTGCTCATGTGTTACTCTCTCCTACATAGACGAGACAGTTGTGTTTTGGTTACACCATTAGGGAAAAAAATCTTCTGGTCCCTTGAATGGTTACAATAAAAGTGATTAGAGGAAATTTCATGTTTCTTATTTGAGGATCTTATATGTTCAACTTGCTACTGTTGATGGTGCTGCCTGTATTTTTGTGTTCATTCATTCTTCATTTATTCAGCACCAGCAATATAAGATTTCAGGAGCAGGACCATGTCTTATTATTTTCTGTATCCACAAGTAGGTCCTCATGGATGGAAAATTATATTATAGTTTCTGTCCTGAGAGAATCCTCAGTCAAGTCTGGGAGATAGACAAGAATGTCAGTGATAACAGTACAGCAAAGGCAAAGTTCCTCAAAATGATGGATGCACAGATAAGAGAATCTAAATAAACCTGTGAGGCTGAAAGGGGATCTGGAAAGGCTTCAATGGGAGATGGCCCCAAGTTCAGTCTTGCAGGGGTTTTTCAGATGAAGAAAGAAGAGGGCTGCATATCAAACCAAAGAACATGTTTTTAGAGGCCCAGTGTGGGTGAGAAACTGTATTTAAAGATGAGAAAACCACAAGAAATGTGGGAAAAGGCTGTGATAGCAGGAAATGAGGCTTGACAGGTTGGCTCTGGACATAGGCACATCTCAGAGGCCTCAAAACATGTTAAAGCAGGGGTCCCTAAACCCCAGACCACGGCCATGGCCTGTTAGGAACCAGGCCACAAAGCAGGAGGTGAGTGGCAGGCGAGTGAAGCTTCATCTGTATTTGCAGCCACTCTCCAGCGCTAGCATCACCATCTGAGCTCTACCTCAGATCATTAGGCATCATAGCACCAACCAGCGGGAGCTGGTGCCGAGGATATGAATTTACCTAACTCTGCTGATGGAGTACCGTGGAGGCTGGGTAGGGAATGGAGGCTCAGATCACATAGTTAGATCTTGACACCTTAGAACAGAGCCCACATCCTTGCAAGTGCAAGGCACCTCTTGTCACCCACAGCTTCAGATGACCAGCGCAGACTGAACCATATTTCACCATCCTTGTTCCTCCTTGCCCGGTTCTCCCTAGGGCCTCCCTTTGGGCAGAGCCTTTCTTGACCTTTCTGCTCATGTGCCGACTGCACATGCCCCATTTCGCTTTTCCTGTCCATCCTGTTGTCCTCAAGTCTTACCTAGTCAAGGACTCATAACAGCTGATTCTTTTTGACCTCTGCCCAATAAAGATATACTCCTCTTTGGTAGTTGGTTATCATTGGGTGTATAGGAACCTCAGATGGTGGAATGCATCAGACACACCTTTTACCTCTAGTGAGATGAAAGGCAGTATTTTAGGAATTTCAGACAGCAAGGAGGTGGGAATCCTGCTCTTAAAATCCTGCTCTTAAAATTTGGCATCTAGCCTACCTGTCCTCCCTTCTGGTCTACAGCCTGCCTGTGCCGCTGACCCCTGCAGGAGCCTCTAGTGGCTCTCCGTTCAGTCTGTTCTCTCTTCTCTGCTAAAGACTTTTCTTCCTCATTTTTCAAATTTAGCCCCTCATTCTCTCCTTGGACTCCCCGTTGCATCATCTGTTGCCTGGTGCCCAGCATAGGGCTGGCCTCCCTTGTCTGACATCCATCCTAGAATGGGTCTAAGCCTTTGTTGGCTCTGCTTCTAGTAATGAAGTTTCTGATGACAGAGGGTGAAGTCGTAAGTGCAGCCTCTTGGTTAACACAAATAAAACACATTTTATTATTAAGGGGCTGACTGAATGTTTCCCTTTGTGACTTTAGACATAAAATGTACCGTGAAAAAGCTCGCCTCTTTTTAATTGATTGTTTCTTATATTTCTTTCCCTGTTTTTTCTTATGCAGGCATTGTTATAACAATAAAGGAAACTAATAAAATTTTCTCAAATTTCACAACCATAAGGCATCAATCGTTTTTGCTTTTTGTTGTATTTTCTTCCAGTTCTGCTCATATACAGTAATATTAACTAGATACAGTTTTGAAGTGCATTTTTTTTTATGCTTCGTGATGCTCATAGTTCAAGGAAATTGAAGTAATTGAGATATGGGAATATCTTGGGTAATAATGGCTTCTTATTTTGATTATTTCCCTTTAGGAAAGACACTGCTGATCCTGTAACATGGAGGATTGCCTTCATACCTCATCTGAGAATCTGTCCAAATTGGTCAGCTGGGCCCACAGCCATGGGACTATTTGCAGCCTCATTCCTAACCTGAAACACTTGCTTTCTGAAGGTTCCCATGGGAACCTGACGGCAATGTGGGGCTGTAGTGCTGGCCATGCTTATCATTGGCCACTGACAGCTACTTGCAGAGCTGGGTCCCAAGAAAGGGTCTGTTTCCAGGATAACAGAAGTTTTAACTCTGATAGTCCCAGTATAATCGGAGTGCCCTCTGAGACACAAACTAGCCCAGTTGAAAGGTATCCTGGGAGACCAGTGAAAGCGAAGCTAGACTGTAATCGGACCAGAGACTCTTGTGACTTCTCTTATTGCAGTGAGCCCTCGGAGCTGGACGAAGCTGTTGAAGAATATGAAGATGAAAACACCCTCTTTGACATGGTTTGTGAGTCTTCTGTTACAGATGAGGATAGTGACTTTGAACCCCAAACCCAAAGGCCTCAAAGCATTGCTCGAAAAAGGCCTGGCATAGTTCCGTCTTCTCTCCATTCAGGCTCCCAGGCTCAGATGATTGATGAATGCAGCAGTGATGTCATCATCAAGAAAATCAAACAAGAGATTCCAGAAGATTATTACATCGTGGCAAATGCAGAGCTGACTGGAGGAATAGATGGACCAGCCCTTTCCTTGACTCAGATGGCAAAACCCAAGCCTCAGACTCATGCTGGTCCCTCCTGTGTAGGGTCTGCTAAGCTAATTCCCCATGTAACATCTGCCATCAGCACAGAGCTAGACCCACATGGTGTGTCTGCATCCCCCTCTGTGATGTCCAGACCAGTTGTCCAGAAGACTGCCAGGGCATCTCTGGCCTCACCAAACAGAGGACCCCCTGGTGCTCATGGCACCAACCAGCAGGTGGCCATGCAGATGCCCGTGAGCACATCCCATCCTAACAAACAGATCAGCATCCCTTTGTCTGCCCTGCAGCTGCCTGGACAGGATGAGCAAGTTGCTTCTGAAGAGTTCCTGCCCCACCTGCCCAGCCAGGTCTCCTCCTGTGAGGTAGCCCTTTCTCCCTCAGTTAACACAGAGCCAGAAGTGAGCTCCAGTCAGCAGCAGCCCCCAGTTGCTCCATCCATAACCACTGAGGCCATGGCACAGTGCATACCAGGTATGGCATGTGAGGTGACAGTGAGTCCCTCATTCACATACATCAGAGAATTCTGCGCCGTCAACACTTCTAAAACCATTAGCTCAGTTTGCTATAATTCAGGCCTTTATTATTCTCAGAAAGATAGAAATAGTGAAATGTATTACATTCAGGGGATCCTATAAAGGAAATTCTGAATTAAGGCCATCCATCCAGTTAATGTACCTTAGGGCTGAGAGGACAGCTGTAGGATTGTGCTGTTGATATTGCACTGCTAGATTTAAGGTTCGTATCTGATCTTGAGCTGAATTTTTATATAGTTATTTTTGAAAAAAATTTTATGCTGCCCTATTAGTATCAAGGTGTTTGGTTGCTGTGTGAAGCCAAAATGTTGTTGGGTTAGGCATATAATGACAATAGACCTAATGCTTTTCCATTATTATTTATTTGTCTGAACCAGCTTGGTATTTCTATTCGTTTTAGTCGACGTGACAGTTTAAACCAAGTTTTTAAAAAAGCAACAAGCCTTTCTAAAAGAAGGATTTGATCTCTTCTCAAAATTTAAAAGATTGAGCTTACGTTTTTGGAATACATTTTTGAAATAACTGGAATGGATTGAGAGGAAAAGGAAATAATTATATGAGGCCCATATCGGTAATTCTAATATTCTTATGTTCTGTAATTTTAGCATTCAATACTTATTTAATCTGGATCATTATTATATAAAGGGGGTTTCGATGTCATGCTTTTAGTTTAGGTTCATGATTCAAGTCTAATAGGCCAGAAGTTAGAAACATAGAAAAAGATGAATAGATATGCAGAGAAACAATAAACAGAAATTCGTGGCACATTTTGGTTTCATTTTAGTCCCTCTCAAGAAAGTCATGTATTTGGAGAAAAGCTTCCCCAGAAGTCTGAGGTACCTGTGCCTTTAGCCTGTAACTTCCTAGAATTAAGTTGCTTTACAAATATGCTTCCCCGATGTTATTGTCAACTTTAAGATCGCTAAAGGAAATCTTTGATTTATGATATTCCTAAAACAGTCATGGTATTATAATAAAAGATACAATTGCACATATTCGCATCTTGATTCAAAATTATGCTTTTCAGTTTATTCATTTTATTTCGCTTTAAAATAATAGCTTTCTTGAGATGTAATTCATATACCATAAAAATCACTCGTTAGAAAAGTTTATGATTCAGTGGTTTTTGGTATATCCAGACTTGTGCAGCCATCACCACTTACCTAATTTCAAAACATTTTCATCACCCCAGAAAGAAACCCCATGCCCATTAGCAGTTATTCTTCCCCTCTTTCCAGCCTCTATCAACCAATAATCTACTTTCTGTATCTATGAATTTGCCTATTCTGCACATTTCATGTAAACGGAGTCACATTATGTAGGCTTTTGTGACGACCTTCTTGCACTTAGCATAATTTTTTAAGGTTAAGCTATGTTGTAGCATATATCAGCATTTCTTTCCTTTTTATTGCCAAATAATACTTCATTGTATGGGTAATAACCATATTTTTTTTTTCATCAGTTGATGGACATTTAGGTTTTTTCTTTTTGGGGCTATTATGAGTAATGCTGTTAATAACATTTGCATACAAGTTTTTGTGTGGACGTATGTTTTCATTGCACTTGGGCAGTTACCTAGAAGTGGAATTGCTGGGTCATATGGTTACTCTCTGTTTAACTTTTTGAGGAGCTGCAAAACTGTTTTCCAAAGCAGCAACACCATTTTACAGTCTCCCCAGCAATGTTCAAAGGTTCCTATTTCTACACATGTTCAACAGTACTTGGTATTTGCTATTAAAAAAGTTATATCTTTCCTACTGGATGTGCGAAGTAGTATCTCATTGTGGTTTTGATTTACATTACCCTAATAGCTAATGATGTTGAAATTTTTTTCATGTGCTTATTGGCCATGTGTATATCTTTTGAGAAATTCAGATACTTTGACCATTTTCTAATTAGGTTATCTTTTTCTTGGTGAGTTGTAAGAACTCTTAATACATTCCGATCCTAAGTCCCTTATTAGATATGTGATTTATAAATATTTTCTTCCATTCCACAGTTGTTCCTTCCTCCCTCCCTTTCTTTCCCCCCACCCCAAGGTTTACTTCAGTTATTTAATAACAACATGATCTTTGGCTCATTAGACACAGTGTTATCTTTATTAGGCTGGCAAAAGTCTTTGTACTAGGAAATCTGATTCTTGCCACACGTAAGATGTAAGAGTACCTTTTCACTTAAATAATTATGAATTTGATTTGTCTCTCCTCCCCTTTTTTTTGTGAAATAAGAGACTTAGGCTTACGGTTTTCTACATTCTCACTTAATTTATATTTGAGGGTAGAATTCAGAAATGTATTTTGCAAAGTGGGTCAGTATACCAAAACAGCTTAGTAAGACCGTCATTTGTATTGCACACCCTCCCATAAACTTGCCCCATGCAAAGCAAGATTTCCTTGCAACTGCCTAGTGGATAGTAAATGAGACATTGAGGCTTTTTACTAAGCCAGACATGAGCTATGCAATTATTTTGGAGAATAAATTCAGCCTATTAGAAAACAATATTTTAATCTATTTATTGTTGTATAGCTTACTTATTTTTAGTTTTTTTTTTTTCCTTCTCTCAATGAAAATGTACTTTTTATGATAGCCATAAAAAGCATGGCCAAGGATAGCACATAACATATACAGCCATAAACTATGATTTGGCTTTACTCTCACAGGGAGGATTGGTTTAGCTTGGAATTGAACCTTCAAGAAAAACAATATTGAAGAACTGGTGATGGGAGTTTCCTAAGGAGTGATCCTGATATTTTGATCCCTTGTTCTGTGGAAGAATATCATATTGCTAAGATATTATTAGCTTTAGAGAAACACTATTTGGATTAGAAACATCAATGGGACAAATAAAAATCTGATTGACATTTTTCTATTGGGAGAGATATATAAAGTTAACAGAGTCCAAACTATGCTTTGTGCTATAAAAGTTTTATTTATTTGTATTTGCATATTTATTTACAGTTGTACTTAAATGGTTGTACTTAAAGTTTTATTTGTTTTGTATGTGTATAATAAATAGTTTCTATTCTAAACATAGATATATGAAAAATTTAGAATTCAGCACATCTAAATATGTGTGTATAAATATGTACAGATGGACCTTGCATAGTTAATATGTAAAGCATACTTGGGACTAGGCAAAGAAGAGAGGTTCTGAAAGAAATAACTGGATGCAGAATCAGGTACATTTAAAACAGATGCTGTATAAGCTTGGGTCTGTATCAAATCATTGCAGAAATAGTACATATCTTTGAATAATATTTTTTAAATAAATAATTTGACAAATGGCTATTGAGTAAGCCAGAAACAAAGAGAAATTGTTCCATTTTGTTTAGTTTTACTGATGCCATTTAAATTTTATTCCCCTCAGTGGAAAATCGTCCTTATTTCTGTTCAGAACTAAACTCACAAAGTTATAAAATATTAATCAAGGTGTGGATAACATTAATTTTCATGTCAATTTTGTCATATTGCTCAACCTAGAACTTGGCAAATAGTAACAAGAGAACATATGTTATTAGAAGAATTATCAACTATCTCCTAGTAATTTAGATTCCATTAATTTTTTGAAGTTTTTAATTTGGACATTTGTCATAATTTTAAATCTCTATTACATCATGAGTTAGGTCTGTATGTGTATGTGTATATTTCTCAAATATACACATGTACACACCACTTATGATACATAATTAGTACAAGGACCCCTTTTATTAATCAGCTCTTATATAAGAAGTTTTATGGTAGCAAGCAATCAACTTTTGCTGATCAGATTTGTAATATGTTTTTTCTTTTGAAAATATACATCTTTATCTTTTTCTAATAGATCATTTTATTCTTTATATATTAGAAATATTAACTCATAGTCTACCATGTATATTGGAAATACATATAATGTATGTTGGAAATACATTTAATTAATCTTTAATTTTTTCGATGGTATTTTTTTTTCTTTAGAGTGTTTTAATATCCAAAATTTAAAAAATTCAATTTATTTCAAGAAAAACAAAAACAATTCACCCGTTTCTCCCAGCCTCCACCCCGCTACCTCTGGCAACCACCATTCTATTCTCTGTATTGTGAGCTTTTTTAAAAAATATATGTATGTATTTTAGATTCCACATACGAGAGAGATCACTTGGTATTTGTCTTTCTCTATCTGACTTATTTTCTTAGCGTAATGTCCTTGAGGTTCATTCATGTTATCACAAATAGCAAGGTTTCATTTCTTTTTTATGGCTGAATAATGTTTTATTGCATACACACACACCCACACACACACCGCATCTTCTTCATCCATTCATGTATCCGTAGACACTTAGATTGTTTCCATATCTTGGCTATTGTAAATAACGTTATAATGAACATAGGGGTGCGTTTATCTTTTTGAATTAGTGTTTTCATTTTCTTCAGATAAATACCCAGAAGGGGAATTGCTGGGTCATATGGTAGTTCTGCTTTTAATTTTTTGAGGGACCTCTATACTGTTTTCCATAGCAGCTGCACCAGTTTACATGCCCACCAGGAGTGCACGAGGGTTTCCTTTTCTCCACATCCTCACCAACGCTCGTTATTTCTGCTCTTTTTGATAATAGCCATTCTGTTAAGTGTGAGGTGATATCGCACTGTGGTTTTGATTTGCATTTCCCTGATGATTAATGATGTAGAGCATCTTTTCACGTACCAGTCGGCCATATCTATGTCATCTTTGGGAAAATGTCTATTTAAATTGCCTACCCATTTTTAAATCAGATTATTTAGGATTTTTTGCTATTAAGTTGTGGTATTTTTTGAGGTATGAGTTTTCCTAATTTTTTGAAGGCTGTTCTTTCTACCTCTATCTGTCTAGCTTACTGTCATCTTTTCTGCCTTTGGTATTTTGCTTAGGAAATTATTTCCCTTCCTCGAATGAGAAAAATATTTACCTATATTTTCCTCTGGTTC